TGTGTGTGTGTGTGTGTGTGTGTGTGTGTGTGTGTGTGTGTGTGTGTGTGTGTGTGTGTGTGTGTAGTTGTGGTTGTGTGTGTGTGTGTGTGTGTGTGTGTGTGTGTGTGTGTTAGGCTGTGAAAATGGAGCTTGGTTCTGGATAATTATGCAAACCTCAACCCACAAAGAGAACGAGAGACCAAGAGACTTGTAGATAAAGTCGAAGACAACCAGAAAACACAATAGCAACTCACTGTTGCGGATATTGTGTGATTCGCGTACCACACTCACCCTGGTAAATTACCCGACCGAGTTACTATGGTTACCTGTGAAAACAGCAGCCGATCGATTTGTTTGAATTGAGTCCCTCGTTATATGACGAATACGAGTCAGACGTGAAAAAGAGCGTGTAATGCCAGTCACGATAATATGGAGCCTCCAAGGAAACTCGCAAAAACCCGTTCCCCACGGTGTCGTTTTGGAAACGTAAAATATCCACAAATTCAACTGAACTCTTCTCAACACACGTTCTTCAAATCCTAATAATGTTTTCAATTTTGGAAACATAACAAATATCAACAGTAGTGCTATTGACTAAACCTTGAATTTCTTTTTTGATCTCGTTGCACTATATTATGCTCCCTTAACTTGAAGCTTGCAATAACACACTTTTTAAATAGAGATGTAGTTTGGAGATTCCCCCACACAGACGCATCCGAGCCCATAAAAGTCACATTTGCAGCAAAAAGGGCAAGGGTTTCAAATGTGTCGAAGGTACTGGCCAAAAATCTGTGACGAAATTACTCAGAGTATCCAACTAGGATTATGCATTGATTTAGTCTTTGCAGTAAAAATTATCTCTCGTCCTAGGTTGACACAAATAGTATTGATCTCCCTGGCTTAATTTAATCTTTGTCCTGGCCTCTAGAAATCTTACATTTTTTCAAACACAGGATGGTATTCCAAAAGATTAATACACTCTCCAAACAACAAAGACCATTAGGACCAAATCAAATTTGAAAATGAGATACAATGTTTAATGGCGTTCAAACCTCAGGCCTCTTGATACAGACGCGGATCAACTATCACCTTGTCATAGACGGTTACCATTCAAACTGTGTACTGTTTAGATAGTTTCTAATTGTGTTTTGGTTGTTATGTACGAATGCCCCAAATAGCTCTGTTGATATCTTTCTACGTTATGATGCAGATAGACCTGGTTCGAATCCCCAACAGCGTATTGGTACGTCTTATGTGTTTGTCATCGTTCCGTCATTTCTGTTGATCTTTCTTCTTCCAGGCGTTACATTCTTGGTCTTTACTCGAATAGGTAGACAGAATTATACTAAATAATGTCAACTACAGTTTTTTTTTCTAACCGATTTTTTAAACCATGTATTTTATAAATATAACGTAACCATTCTTACTTGCAAAGTAAACCCAAGACTTGATTTGATTTAACATGAAAACAACCAACTCGTGTCCAACGCACTCAGACAACTTTATGTTGTTGGTTGCGCCCGCAAAACTTTAGCCAAACTAAACACTCTGTTTATCCCCTTTAACTCAAGCTCAAACTTACCTTTGCTGCATCGATGCCCTTCGTGATGGCCCAGGTGGATACAATGTAGTCCATGACTCTCTCGCTGAGTGACTTTGGAACATCGTGAAGTTTCATAAACTCCCTCACGCTGTTCAGCATGTCATGGTATCGAGCAAAGCTGGAGTAGAACTGTTGGAATATCGTAGTCACGTTACTGAAGATTGTAGCGTAGAGCAGAGCTGAGGAAGATAACCATTGTGGAATGGATTAAAGAAAATGTTGTAGGGTAGGTCAGATTGAAGGCTAATGCTCAGTGGCATTTGTTAAGAGTAGTGTTAAGAAAAACGGCAGGCAATATAAATACAATCGAACTTGCTTTAAAGGCCACTTGTGCTAGACAACCACCTGTACCACTTCCCATTTCACCCGTTTCGTTTTTTAAACATTATAATAACCCTATCGAAGACGGCCATTTTCTCCTCGGCAATGGGTGACTGTCTGAGACAATTCAACTGTACTGACAGGCTATTCAGAGGTTTGTAAATTTGCTTTTTTTCAGGTTATCCCCACCACCGGCGTTTATAGTGCAGCAGTTAGGAGCTTCGCCGTCGCACGCAAAAGAACCAAGTTTGATTCACATGTGGCG